TTTTTTTTTTTTTTTTTTTTTCAGTCGTGAAGAGCGTTTTATAACTTTCAATTGGTGATAGTAGAAATGTATGAATTCTATACACGTATATGTAGTTTTTCTCACTTACACGCTTCCAACTTCCATTTTCAAAACATCGTAAATTTTTGTGAAGGATAAAGAATCGCATCTCGAGCAAGCAATGGTGTAATTAATATTGCCCTTTGGTAACAAAGTAAACGCGAGACGGTAACAAACGGGATAAATATTCGAAACAAAAGAAATATCATGTCATCCTGCTCAAAGGAAGAAAATTAATTAATATAATGGAATTACCGTGGTATTGTTTTTAACGTTTGAGAAACCTCGGCGTTCCTTAACTGCGAACGCGTAACAGAGCAACTACAGTGAACCGGGCTTAACAGTCGCGAAGAGGAGGAGCACAAACACAATACGCCTGATCAAACAGCAGACAAGAGACAAAGGGAAACGAGCGGATTTACCTTGAATATTGTATCGTAAGGTTGTCGTGGCCAGCCCGGAAGGCTCCTCTCTCTATGCTCTTCAATCTAACGTCGACGAACTCCAGGCTCTGGATCAACGCCCTGTCGCTGAACGCACCGGTCTCGATCTCCAGGATCGACGCGTTGCTTATGGTCACGCTGAAGATCGTCATCGCGCAGAACGCGTTCTTGCGGATCACCTTTGTCCAGATGTCGTCCATCCGGACTTCCGCCACTGCCGATGGAAACACCGCTGTCGGCAACTCGGTGATTCTCACGCTTTGGAACATAATCTGCGCCGGACGAATTAGAAATCGTGATTAAAGCGATATCGCCCGAAGCTTCTTGACGTGCTGGAATATCGCCAATTCCTGTCCCGATCTGGAACTGGTCTGGTATATATTCAAGTATTTCACGTTTGTCGCGATGGATTTGTGTTATTAGTAGACTGCTAGGATGTTGTATTATCTTTTGAAAAATTAAAACTAGGAAAATCGATTCTAAATAGAAATTTATTGCATTCAACGCATTCTGTAACACCCGCAATTTAATTATGTCGGGAGTTAATTCTGTTAGGGGATTTTGAATCTCTGGACTCGATTGAAAATTAATTTTATAACAGTCTATTAAATTTCTTGTTGATCGCGGTAGAATGTTTGACAAATTTACGCGATATGTGAATATGCAATATCATTAACTTTTCCGACTTACTAATTTATAGATCAATATGATTTTTGAATAGCAGTAATGAGTAAACACACGATATTCAGGAATATATAAAATACCTACTACGAATATTTTATGCAGACTATTTGTACTTCCTTCCTTTAATTATACTCATGAAAATATAAAACTGCATAAAAATACAAAATCTACTAATTAACGTGGATTTTTTTACGAAATATGCATTTGTGAAAAACGAAATTACATGAAAATGAAACATTCAAAATGCTACTTTCTACGATATTTGGAACTTGGGACAATGTTCTTGCCCAAGTCCTATTTTTTCAATGATATTATATTTCTAGAAATCCGCACTTCTGCTCATTAGAAATCCACGTGTGTGTTTGATCGTCTGACCTTGGTCGCTGGTCCATGCCTGCCGTGTTGAGAAGCCTCGAGTTTGAACGCGTTGCTAGCCAGCTCCAGCATCGGCACCTCCCTAATCGTGATCCAGAGTAGCCTGGAGAAGGCGTTCGGTTTGATCCCCACGTTCCTGCATCTCGATATCGAAACGCTCAGCGTTCCTCGCGAATTTCTGAACGCGTGACTCTCTAGGATCACGCTGTTGCACTCAGACACTTCGAGATGCGTGTTCGGCGCGCTCAGATTCTGGAACGCTTGCCTCTTAGCCACCAGGCTGTAGATCCCTGACACGTGAACCCGTTTCAAAGGCGCGCCATCCGCGAACGCGCCCGACTGGATCCTCAACTCCCTGCAGCGAGAGACCTCCACCTCCATCGCGTCCGATGGAATGGTTCCCTCCAGTAATTCCACGTCCTGGCGACGGCAAAGGAGAAATAAAATTGGTTATTACGGCTAAAAAGTTTCCTATGTATGTACAATATTCATGTTTAAATAAGTTCCTTTAAAATTAAAATTCATTTTACGTGATAAATTTAAATTAAGTTCCACTGTTTTAAATAACATTGAGTTTAACTATAGTGGTACTGTTGGACGCGAGAAAACTCTAGTAAATTGTTTGTAATATTACAAAATTTTATGTCTCTTCTGAATAGGCTCAAGACGCTGCATCCAGTGGTACAATTATGAAACAATAAAATAAAATAATAAAAAAATAAAAAGAAATAAATGAGAAATGATCTGTTAATCTGGTAGCGGAGAAGATATTTTAATCCTTAGACTAACTTCGTATGATTGTAAAGAATGTTAGTGACTCTGTCGATTCTCCGTGTTATACGGAGTATTTTGAAAATTTATACCTGAGTCGAGAGAGGTAGGAACACGAGTTACAATGCGAATGAATGACGTGAGTTATCGCGGGTAGGTTTATCCTCGATATAAATCATGTTCCTCTATGAATCGTGGTCGAGAGCTGACTGATGATGCATAAATATGTATGTATACCAGCCTGCGAGTGAACTATAGCAACAGAGAGCTTCGCGAGCAGAGGTAGTTGTGTCTCATTTAACCCTCGAATAATATCCTTGGCTTATATATCGTAATAATTTGTTACTAAACTTTAGAGTATTTAACTTTATTTTATATACAGATATAGGTGTTTGTATATTTTTGGAAAATTTTTAAGGATTTTTCACAAAAATCTGCGAACTGCGTACAATATCCAAAGTAGAGCACTTATTATAATATTCCTTTCACAAATTACATTCACAAAAGCACAAAATTCCATAAACATCTGCAGTCTACTAATTAAATTCATTTAAATAAGAAACTCCAAAGATAATTAACTTAATTCTACATTATTATGGTTCTAACGATATTGGTCTAATTAAGAGTTAATACTTTTTTTTCCAAAAGTAATTAACACGTTAAAGAAAAAAAGAATTCATCGAGCAACGGACCATCAGGGTTTGTATTCGTTGAAGAACTTAACAGTGAAATTCGGACGATCTCGTGATTGGTCTCGTTTAAAAAGGTAGGCAGAGAATATTTCCATTTTTATTGGCACTACAGATGGCGATGGTGTCCACAAAAAGAGAAGAGTTCAATTTCAGATTTCATAAAATTTATGTAACTGCAAATATGCCCTCGATGGGATACTCCCACTTTCGGTGGTAATCTCGTAACGATGAAAAGAGAAACGACGAGCGGCAGAGAAAGAGAGAGAGATGGGATGGCTGGGTGTGGGCAAGTGGATTTTAATAGAGACTCGCGAGAATAATTTCTCGGAATAATTTGCGTGTTACGACTCGGTCGGCGATGAATAATAATCAGATGGTTAAAAATCTCCATAATGAAACGGAAGTCCTTTGGCCCTGTCGCGTTTCAAAATCAACAAGTGAATTTTCTATCGGG